TCTTCTCCCAGATTCCACGGGCTGGGAATCGACGGGTCGGGGGCTTTCTTGCTGTACCTGCAGGAAGCTCTGAGGTCTGCCAGCCCCCCGGGGAAGGAAACACACGTCCCTTCTCCCAGCCATTCTGCTTGAGGGAATCTCAGGGACCTTTTGGGATTGCCCCTCTGCGGTTTTGACTGGGGGGTGGGGGGAGTCCTCGCAAAAGGACTTAGGGTTTCCTGTTTATTGTCACATTTTCTAGACAGAGGGAATCGGGCCGAGTTGGAGGCAGCGCTTATTGGCACTTCATAGCAAACGGATCACTCCCTTTTGCAAAGCCTCACCGCCCCCCCCCCCCAATCCCGTGTGTCGTTTTCTGTTGGAAGCCAGGTTACAAACGCGTTGTGTGTTTGCTCCTGCCAAAGCCTGGGGTGGGGAATTGGCATCTGGTAGAGCCGAACCAGAAGGCACGGAGGTGAGATCTGTCCCCAGCCTCAGCCCTTGGCTGGCAGGAAGGTGCTGGCACGGACGCCGTGTTAAGCCTGGAGACACTCCGAGATCGGAACTCGCGGATTGTATTTTGGTCTCTCCCCTCCCTCCCTTTTTGATTTTTCCCCCCCCCCCCCCCCCCCCCCAGAGACCTGAGATGTACATTATAGGAGCCCAGCCTGTGTGCAGCCAGCTCCCTGGGCTCTCGCCAGGCCAGAGGAAACTCTGCCAGCTCTACCAGGAACACATGGTGTACATCGGAGAAGGAGCTAAAAATGCCATCAAGGAGTGCCAGTACCAGTTCCGGCAGCGGAGGTGGAACTGCAGCACAGTGGACAACACCTCTGTCTTTGGCAGGGTCATGAAAATAGGTAAGAGGGGGGGCAGGGCAGAGGTGGCCCGGGCAGGGCGGGGAGAGGGTGCCTGGGAGGTTTTTGCGCGCTGTCCTGGCGAGGAAGATCTAGTCGGATCTGTTTCAAATACACATTTAGAAGCAGGGCCATCCATTAGCCGAAGCCCGCAATCTTCAATGCGCGAGTTAACTCGCTCCATTTCCTGAAATGGGTATGCTTCTTAATGGAGTAGGGAAGACACCGGGCCCGGTGGGAGCGCACCCCCGGGCACGCCCAGGCAGGCTACCCCTCTCTCTGCACGCTTGGCCGGCGTACCCGCCTGGAGGGCCTCCCTGGCTAGTTTTATGCCTTAATGCAGAGCTGGTGGGTTTGGGCGCGGGGGAGGTTTCGATTGTGTCTAGTGATTGAGGGTGGCAGGGAAGAAGAGAAAAGCAGCCACCTGTCCGTACCCGGCAGCGCGCTGCTCAGGGGGACTCCCCGGCGTGGGAGCCCGTCTGTTTACCTGGGAGGAAGGCTGGGACAATTCCTACCCCGCTGGCGGTAAGAGGCGCATTGACGGGCCATTGCCGCCCTGGGCTCGAGGTGTGACCGGCGCGCATTGTCCTCGCCCCTTTTGAAATGCAGCCATCCGCTGGCAAGGCGCTGAGAAATCCGGGCCCGGTTTGATGTGTCCGACCGCCAGGACAATAAAGAGAAGGTGTTAAAAATGGTAGTAAAGGGCACCCCCACCCCCACCCCTTTCGTCAGGCGCTTCCCGCCCCACGAAGCTAATGATTTACTGTTGAGTAACCCATGCAGCGCCCCTCACCCCCTGCCATTATTCAGGGATACCACTGCATGGGGGCATGGCGTGAATCCCCGAGCCAGCGCGGATGCGCCTCGCTAGGCGCCCTTGGAGGGCAATAGAAGCACCTTTAACTTCTTGGCCCCGAGGGCAGCCCATGTCCCTGCTCTGAAGCAGGCAATGGGAGCAGAATGCGGGGGTTGCTGGCAGAGCTGCCGTTTACACTCAGTCTGAAAAGCTCCACTCTGCACTGAGACCCCAGCTGGAGGGTTTGGTCCCTGGCACTGAGCCTGCAGATTCCCAACCCCTTCCTCTTAAGTCCCAGGCCCTGTCTCATTCCCCTCCCTCCCCCTGACTATCAGTCTCCCACAAGAGCCAAAGCCCATATGCCCGCTCCTGTGGTCCTCCACAAGGACAAAGAGGGATGTTCTCAGACTGGGTCAAAAGTATACCTGGGATAGAGACGTTCAAGGAGGATAGGTCCATCACTACCTATTAGCCAAAATGGCCAGAGTGGCAACTGCATGTTCCATAATATTTCCAGCTCCTGGAAGCTGGGCCTGGATGATAAGGGGATGGCCTTGGATCACTCAGTTGCCCTGTTCTGCTCATTCACTCTGAAGTATCTGGCATTGGCCACTGTCAGAAGACAGGATACTGGGCTAGTTGGTCATTGGTCTAACCCAGTATGTTCCTTCTTGTGTTCTTGAGCCATTGGATGGGAATCAGGACAGTGGGGAGATAGGAACTTACAACATTAACATCTGCCCTCCAGGGAACGAAAAATGAACTATCTATGAAGGGACATGTTTGAGCATGGAACTAGTTAATACAACAAAAGGAACTTCCCCCACCCTCCCTTGGTTTGGATGGGTCCCTGGTGACATTGATCAACGGGATCCAAAGCATGGGGTAAATTTTGGCTCCCAAAAGAAATTACAACTACTCCACAGGGACAAAGGCTCAGGAAGTGTCCCATATAGAGATGGACTCCCTTCCCCTTCAGTACCACTTCACTGACCACAGTCTTTTCCTTGAGTTAGGAAACAAGTCCAAACCTGGGGGTGGGGAATCAATGTGAACAGAAGGGAAGCACGGGCCAGAGGTGGAGGAAAAGAGGGTACAGGAATGAGCCAAAATAGATAATGGAGAAGGGGTAGAAACCGAGAAGGGCCCTTTCCTCACCCTTTTCATTAAAGTGATCCTAGTAATTCAGCTCATACTTTGATTTTGGTGGTAAAACAGTGGTGGTCTGTATGGGTGCTGTGATAAGTGTCTCTGATAGCTGTGATTGTGCTGTGTGTCTTGATGGCAGTATTGGTGCCGATGTTTCCAGTAGTTATGGTATGGGTGATGGTGGGTATTTATGGTAAAGAGGTTATGTTTATGCATGGTGGTGTGCATATGTGTCTAGTGGTGTGTCTGTAATTGTGACTGGTGGGGATATAGTTTGTGGTGTGTCCACCATTTAAAAACTTAACACCTAATACAGATAGATGAACTTGGCAGTCTCTGCTTCTTGTTCCTGGTACAACCAGATGTATTTTCTCGTGAGAGTGCACAGTCACATATAAACTGAAAACACTACAATGGCAAGAAAAGTTATATAGGTATTCCCCAAATATACAAATCTATAAATATACAAATCTATAAATCTAAGGTCTCTATTGCACATCACTGATAGTGTCATGAATTACCTTTTGTCAGTGACAAGCTGGTACTTAGGATGATGTTATGGTTGCTGTCTTTTTTTTCTCTATCCTAGGCTTAGGCACATTTCTTATGATTTTTTTTTAATGAAGTACCTACTATAATTTCAGATAATTTGAGGAATTATGTTTTGGGTATTGGAGTAGAAAGCAAAGCATTTCAATCTATTCTGTAACATGTTGGCTGTACGGTCATTCTTCTCTGAGTATGTACTGTGCTTTTATCTCCCACTTTTAACTTGTAGGCCTCAATTCTGTATTGCAGCATGGTTCCTTTATGGTGTTCCAGGTGCATAAAGGGGCTGGAAACCAGATGAATTTCCTCACTGGGGAATATTGTCAGTGATACAGAGCATGTCAGAGTCTGGAGAGAAGAGAAAAGATAAGTAGTTGGGGAAAGATGGTAGACCAGAACTGTTGGGAGAACTCTGGCCATATCAGCCAACAATATGGGCATAAATTAGAGAAGCCCCAGGCACTGGTCTAGAATAGATTATGCTGGGGGCTTCCCATAAGCATCAAAATCCAGGCAGTGCATCCATTGTGTGAAGCCAGCTTTTTCTCTCATCCTTGTAAGATGGCCACAGCTTAGGCTGTGTCTAGACTACATTCCTTTTTTTGAAAAAGGGATGTAAATTAGACACTTCAAAATTGCAAAATGAAGCTGGGATTTAGATTTCCCGCGCTTCATTTGCATAATGGCTGCTGCAGTTTTTTTCAAAAAGGGGCTTGTCGAAAGAAAAACAGCTGTTTAGATGGGGACTTCTTGAAAATAAACCCTTTTTCGAAAGATCCTGTAAACCTCATTTTTGAGGAGTACAGGATCTTTCGAAAAAGGGTTTTATTTTTGAAAGATCCCCGTCTAAACAGCTGTTTTACTTTCGAAAAGCCCCTTTTCGAAAAAAAAACTGCAGCCGCCATTATGCAAATGAAGCACGGAAAATTTCAATTCTGGCTTCATTTGCAATTTTGAAGTGTCTAATTTACATCCCTTTTTCAAGAAAAGGGATGTAGTCTAGACACAGCCTTCAGCTACGTCTAGACTGCAAACCTTTTTCGAAAGAGGCTTTTTCAAGAGATACTTTGGAAAAAGCCTCTTTCGAAAAAGAGCACTTTTGAAAAAAGGCATTCTTCCTCATAAAACAAGGTTTTCCACGGTCAAAAAAGTGCTGCGTTCTTTCAATTTACTTTCGAAAGAACACGGCAGCAGTCTAGATGCAGGAGAAGTTTTTTCGAAAAAACTTTGTAGTCTAGACACACCCTTAGAGTGGTAGTCCTTCGTTTATGGTTACTTGGGCTATGTCTATTCTAGAGAGTTTACATCAGTGCAGCTGTACTGATGCAGCTGTGACACTGTAAGCTCTCTTGTGTAGCCACTCTCCCCAGGTCATAATTAATCCATCTCCAATGAGTGGCGGTAGCAGTGTCGGCAAGAGAGGCTCTTCTGCTGATATAGTACTGTGCACACTACCACTTATGCTAATATAATTTATGTCATTCATGGGGGTGGAATATCCACCCTCTCCCCAAAAAACTACATTTTGCAGACATACGTAGTTGTAAGATGTAGTTTGTGTTTAGTAAATCTGCCTTAGTTTTGTATATTTTACAGTGGTATGGCAGTCTGCCAGCATACAGATTTTGTTCAGGGATGTGCTGCACTTTAGCTGATTGAGTTTTATTTGTTTTTCCTGAGCATTGTTATAGGTTTTGGCGTAGTCTAGTCTCTGGTCTGGCAAGGAGTAATTTTTGATCGCTGAGGTACAGAAATTACCCTTCAGAAATTGATCCCTGTACTATATAGTAAAGATTTCATAAATTCCTAAGGCTGAATTTCTTAAAGGGAGGATAAAGAAACCTATAATGTAATGTAAAGCATTTACTACTGGGAGTATTTTTGAGAGGAAACCATATTCTGTTTCTCTCATATTCATTCTCCCCTGACTGGGCTGTCCCAAGTTATTCAGTTTAGCCCTGGCATTTCTAGAGTTGGTTGAAAAATGATATGTTTTCCCATGAAAAATGTCTCCGTTTTGAGTTGGTTTTCCTTCCTTTTTGCTCCACCTTTTTTTCAATGGTGAAAAGGAAAAAGGGAGGGGAAAAAAGTGGTGAAAGGGAGAGAAGAGAGAAAAATAAAATAATGTTAATATTTAATATTTATTACAATAATTGACAAAATTGGAAAATGAAAGAAAAACAAACATTGTCTGCAAATAAATAAATGGCTACTCTTTTTCATCATAAAAATTTAGAAATACACTTTTTAACCCAGCCCTCATTTTCTTTTTTTTTTTGCCTCACTCTCTTCCCCAAGTTCAGGTCTATCTCTCCTTCCTTTCCAGGCAATTCCCTTGAAAAGAGTTGCTTTGGGATTGGCTCACCTTTGAATCCAGAAAGGAGAGTCTGTAGCCCAAATCAGCATTTTCACAATTGACCCCTGCAATCCCAATGTGCCCCAGGTTTATTCCCACTACTTGGAGTGTTCAGTGGACACTGGAGGGCAGCAGAGCTCCATGGAGAAGGTA